AAAAAAAAAAAAAAAAAAAAGAAAAAAATCAACAAAATAAACCATATATCCCCATACATATACTTGAAAACTATCCTAAAAATCTACCCGCAAGTCGGATTTTGCTAGATCTGAAACCACCAATTGCAGCTGACCTGTGGAAGCACTGCCGGATTTTGCTAGATCTGAAACCACCAATTGCAGCTGACCTGTGGAAGCACTGCCGCTTGGGCGGGCGCCTTTCTTCTCGCTTCGTTGAAGGCAGAGATGATTGAAGGTTAGGCGGTTTGATCTCCAGGGTCGAACGCAGCGGGCGGAGGAGCGTCAACACGAGCGCGAGCGGTAAGAGGAGCTGAGGCGCGCGGAGCACGAGCGGGCCGAGGGGCACGAACGGAGGCGTGCAGATTTCGACCGGGAGGAAGATTTTGGCGCGGCGCGGCGGTGCGAAGGGGAGATTAAATTCCGGAGAGAGCCGACGACATAAAGGCCTCCGAGAAAACAACCAAGATCTTCTTTGTTCGCGGGGATACGGCTACGGCTACGGCTGCGACAGATCTTGTCTGGCTTTGCTTAGTTGCTTGCTTGGGGTTTGAGAATTTTGGATTTTAAAAGAAAAATATTTGTAACGCCCCACTTTTAATAGACGAAACTCAAGATAAATTTTTTCAAAATTTATTTCAATATCCCTTGAGGCGATACTCATTTTCAAAACGATTATCCATAATCAATAATAATTACAATATCCGATAATCAATCATAAATCCATTATGCAAATCGGGTTTCTCAAATTTCTAAATCCAAAGAGTACACTCCTTAAGATAATCCAATAATCAAAATTCGAAAAACAATATTAACATTATTCAGTTTAATAAGCGGAAGCAATAATCAATAATAATCATAAATTGGTCGTAATTGACCAACCACCACTCGCTTCCTTCCGTCGTGCCCGCACATACTAACCTGCATCCATGAAGAGCATGTGGGGATGAGCACAAAAGGAATCCGTAGTGCTCACAACTATGCACGTAAATAACAACATAATATAACAAGGGTATGGTCACAACATGATTATAAATCAATTCAACATGTCACATCTCCAATCAATACACCAATAACCTCACTCATGTGCACATCTATCATTAGCTATGGAAGGACATATAGCTCTCAACAATGGGAGTGCATACCGAAGGATATACAGCTCTCAACGGTATGGCCTTTCATTAGGACTTAGGGAGATTGCCTCACAAGGCACCATCGAAGGACATACAGCTCACATCGACGGGGACAACCGTTCGAAGGACATACAGCTCACATCGAAGGTTACACCAATTCACAAGCATGCATTGAACATACCAACCCAACAACAAATAAGTTACTTACGGCATAGCAAATTTTACAATTACAACCCACCTGGTCTCCGGAGAATAGAGAAATCACAAAAATCAGGAAAAGCAGGTCGAGAACACAGCTCGTCAACACCTACGATTATTAAAATAGCCTATAAACATCTATCCGAAACTAAGATCATCATAATTAAGGCACGTAAGGTTCACACCATCAAAAAATAAACCAACTCAGCCCCTATTAGTCACATAAGCTAACACTTAAAAAGAATTTCTATTTTCGAAGGCACAACATAAGTTTTTCGAAACTTAACTCGCGCAGCGATTTTGAAATCAACTTAACTTGCGGCACATAACTCGAATAAACATGATTCCAGCTGCATATGAATTCTAAGACATGCGGGTACAACTCTCATGAAGACATCGACAGTAGATAAAGTCATTTACTAGGAGTTTAATCGACAAACATTTAAAACAGAGTGGCAGTCCAAACTTGAAATCTTACAGCTGACAGGACCTCAGTAAGATGACTATAACTTATACTACAGAGCTCGGATCAGTATAAATGTTACCCCATTAGAATGCTAAGAAAAAGGTCTACAACTTTCATGAAGTTCATGTTTTCATTTGAGCACTTTTAAGAATGATAAATAGGTCAAAATTAAATTAGGTACGTGCTGCCCGGTCTTACCAAAACTGCTCGCGCGACAATTTTGTAAAAATCATAACTTGTTCGTTTCAAATCGAAATCACATGATTCCAATGCCCAGAGAAAGCCAACAAATCGAAATTTATTTCATGAGAAGGGTACAACATCAAAATACAA